TACATTTATTATCACCGCATGAAATCTTAGAGAATTCGATTTACAGTTTATTTCAATATTTCAAAAACTTTATTTATTTAATTATTCATTTCAACCATTGCAACCTCCCCCTCCCCTCCGTTCAATAGAAACCGTTAGTTCTATATAGCGAAGTTCGCGGAGTAATAGAAAAATAATTTCAACCTTACTCCGGGCATGGAAACTATATTCAACTCAGCTATCACGGAGACCTAGAGTCAGTTGACAGTTCAGCTTCAGTTCAGACTTCAGTTTGTTTTAACACTTCAAACTGCATTCAGTTGTTTAAATATAATCTGTTTACACGTACTTCAGTGAAGCAATATTCAGATTCTTGATTTAATAACAAAAAAGAAAACGTTCTAATTGTGGAGGTAATTTTATGAAACGTTTGTGTAATTGTTTTATTTAAATGGCTGTTTCTAGATCAAATAAGCTTAATGCAACAAAGCAGAAAATATAAAGTTGATTTCAATTCTAAATATTTTGCAAATATCCTAAATTTTATGGAGAAAATCCGGGAATCTATCAAAACTTTATAGCACACGTGCTATGTACAGCTAATTTAACATTATAGCACGATGCTTACTTTATAGCACGTTCATTATGAAATTCACGATGAAGTGACTAATAATGATAAAGTGCAAAAAATAGAAATGATCAATTATAAAAAGAGCACTTTATAGTCAGCTTATTTCTATTTCTATTTCTATATGTATTCAGTTATTCAAACATAATTTGTTTACTGTTAACAAAGGTGTCTTTCAGTGGAGCAATATTCTGTTTCTTGATGTCATAAAAAATCGTTCTTTTTGGAGGGATATGTTTTATAAAATTTAACAAAAATTATCTAAACATAAATAACTACCTTTAAAAGAAAAAAAACATTAGATCCATAATTTAGTTAAAAAATATGCAGAATCTAATTTTAAGAGAAAAAATGTTGGAAAAATTTTTCTTAAAATTTTTATTTATAGAAAGGATTGATTGTTTTTACTGAAACCTTTAAAAAAGGAAAACGTCTCTCTGACATATCAGGTTTCAATTGGAACTCAAAAAAGAGTTTTTGTCCATATTTTAAAAGAGAAAATAAGATTTCAGGCTAAAAATTGATTTTATCCGAAAATATGTATTTAACGGAGATATGAGGTAAAAACTAATGTGTTAACTCAGTAAATCTTAAATGCTTGATATCGAGATCCAGCGTAGGCACGTTTAAATGTTTAAAATAGCCGCTTAATCTCCCAATTGAAGCTATGGCGCAGGGTATGACCACTACGGGATTACAAAAAGATTTAAACCAATCCGAAGGTAGCTCCGTAAGATATAGATCAATGCTTGATTCCGTGATTGACAACACAAAAGTTCTGACTTATATCATTATATGGTGTTAACATTTGTTTCTGTTTCAATCTTTAGCTACTCCGGCAAGTTACGCTGCCACCTCCCCCCCCCCCACCAGTGTTTGAAGGGGGGAAGGGGGGGGGGAGAAGGACAGTTCTCACTCTTGACGGTCAATTCTTAAACAACACAGTACAAAGTTCAAAGTTTGGAAATTTCCATTTAAAGAGAAACTGTAACAATAAACGAGAACAAAGCACTTTTTTAAAATGCCCTTTATATTTGACCCTTCCCATCACGTTTAATAAAATATATCAATAACCATGAGAATTAAAAGACGACTTTGATAATAGATTTCCTATTTGATAATAGATTCCCGATATTTAATGAATTTCAAAGAAAGTATTAATTCGGTTTCTTTTATTTAAAATCAAACGTGTATAATTCAACGATCTTTAAACTTACGGATTTGTTTCTTTTATACCTTTTCATTCAAAATGTATACGCCGACATAAAAGTGTTTAAGAAAAAAGACTAACAATTATGTATAATGGGTCAAATTGCGATTAAAAGTCACATCTTTCTGAAATATTGACAGAACCGTTAAATCCACGTGTTCGTAAAGTTATGGGCATCTCCTGTACAAAAGTCATATATATGCAATATTGGATCAAATTGATTTATTTCTTGAAATTTCTCTCTGACAATGTTATATTCCCGAATTTAAAAACCGTTAAACTCAATGTTTTTATTTTAACTGTATTAAGTTGATTAATTTTATTCTAAATGCTGTGCATATAAAGCATGAGATTTCAGAGTCGACTGTACGGAATTTATACTGTCCTGTGTCTTTAGTCATGATTCCCCGCAATTGTGAACTTCTTCCTTTATTTGCCAAATTATTATAGAACCTATTTAAAGGCGATATTCAATTTTAACTTTGAATCGCCATACTTAAAGAGTTTCAGGTCGTCTTTACAGTCTCATCCTTTGTGTGTAACCCTGTTTAACTCAGAACTAAGGAGAATTGATAAATTAACGTTTACTAAACTCACTGATAATGGATTGCTGCAAACATTTAGTTTTTTAATTGAATTAATTATGTGAAAAATTGTCAAGACGACATTTTATAACTTTCTTAGACGTCGCTCAAAGTGCTGGGTTGAACTGAACAGTTCCCTTTTCATTTCGGAAACCCTGGTTATAAGTGCGTCAGTTATAAGTGGTTAGTATCCCGCAATTCTAAGATAAGTAACGACAGTTGACCCTCTCCCCCTTCCTTTCCGGATAGGGTTAAAGGGGTGGGGGGGGGTAGTCGCGTAGGCGGGGTAGGACTCAGAGGATCGTTGTCTTATACGTAATAAGATACCGCGCGGTCATTTCTGAAAATTGTTTTAAAACAAATTTTAAAAATGTTCAGTTAATTAAAATCTTTGAACAGAAATTCTTGTGTTAAGAAAATTGAGTCTTTGTCACAAAAAATTCTGAATTTCTAATTCCTTTATCTTTGATATTTCTTTTAAATTTCAAACTATGAATTATGTTCTATCAAATTATAAATGAATTTCTCATTTCATTGAAGAGATGATGCTTAAACACTTTTTATAAAACGTTTCTGAAATCTTGCGTATCATTCATTATTAATTCCTAGCTGATTATCTTCATATCAACATAATAATTTATTTCACATATTTATTTATCTTACTTTCAGAAATGCAGAATACATTTATTGAAAAAGAATAATGACATTTTGTCTAATTTAATTAAAATTCAGTTAAAAGACTAAAAAAAATAAGAACTATAAATTATTCATTTAATTATTCATATAAAATTTTTTTTAATATAACATAAAAATTTCGAAAATGGAAAATTAAAAATTTGATTGTTTATATTGTAATCAACTTTTTGTTTTTAAATTTTTTAGCAGAATTTTAAGTTATATGAAACGTTTCATTATCCATTTAATCCTATATAGCTGACTAATGGATTTATATATATCTAAACTATAAAACATCCCCTTTCTATTGCAATTAAACATTTTTTCTACTTGCAGAAATGCAAAATACATACTAAGAAAAAAAATGTTACTAATTTGGTTTTGCATTATTATAATTTAAGTTTTGGTTTTTCAATCTTGAAATTTTTAACATATTTAATCTTTGTAAACGTGGATTTAAATGTTTTTTTTTTAATGTTATGGAAACATTAAGAAAACCGCAAAATAGAGATAGATTGTGTTCATATATATATTCATTTGTTTCAGGGTTTTAAACTTCCCAAATTTTTGAGGATAAATCAAGTTTTTCTGAAAAAAAGCATTTGAGAAAATAAAGATATTGGACATTTTTCAATTCTAGGTCAAAATTAGGATTTTTTTCAACAATACGCAGATTTTAAGGGCCCTTTGTTTTTATACTGGTTTGGTAAAAGATATAGAAAACATATAAAACAAAGAACCATTGTTTTATAACGCACGCATTGCATATGATATTTATAAAACTAATAAATGCGGGAAATATTTTGCAATTGAATAGAATTCAACCAGCTTCCGGACTTTATATTAACCCCCTACTAAAACCAAAGTTAGACTTAACATAATATAAATAAATCAAAAAAAATTAAAAATTCCTAAAAAAGTTTAAAATTGAAATTTCACACATTTGAAATACTTTCGATCACACAATAGTTAAGAAAAAAACTTATAACTCAATCTTAAAAAATTCTTTCAAATCTAGATAAATAAGCGCGCAAGACTGCAATGACTTTTTGCTCGAAATTAATACAAATCGTGAAGGTAAAATTGAACTTTTACGTCACGCAAAATTTTTTGATTTTGCAATAACAATTTTCAACAATTTATCCTGACTGTCATTGTAATTTCACTGGAGCCTTCATTTAAGTTTGGAAATAACCTAAAGTAAACTTTGCGTAAGATTAAAATCTTAAATGATTTCTATCATGACTCCTCTTTATAAAAAGCTACTGAGAAAAAATTAATTGAAATTTTATATGTTACTGCAGAATATAATTGTCTCATACATGTGCGTAAAAGCAAAACTAGCGTGGAGCTACGACGTCATAAAGTCGGACCTGCAATGTGCCATGTAAAGATACCACTGTAGATCGGATGTTTAAATGAAGGGTCACTTAAAATTACGCCTGCAGTCTGTTTAAGGTGAATCCCCCAAATATATATATGTATATCTTCGGGCATATTTCTCAGCAATGTAATCCGGATTTAACTTGATTTCCGAATCAAATCAAAACATAAAATTGCAACCCCCCCCCCCTCTCAAGCACCGCCCATTCAAATATCTGTAGAAGCATCAATCAATACTTCAGTTAGCAGAAATATTTAGTTATAAACAATACAGATACAATCCTAACTACAGAGTGCTGTAATCGATTCACAACGGAACCCTAAACAATGACAACATGCAGCAACAATTTTTAAACAGCTGCGCATTGTTTTTAAAGCAATAGACGAGCACGAAAATGGTCGAATTTTGTTCAGTTACGGATTGAATAATTAAGATTTCTCACTCTGAGCATATTATAGGGAATTGTTGTTAATAGGTTATGGCATTCATGGGATGGTTTTAAACTACGAGGGGAGTTCCTTTATAACATAAGTATCTTTTTATTATTTATTGTTTGCAAATGTTATGGTTTCAGGTTTACAATGGTTTCAGGATATCCTAGGTAACCAGAAGACTAACTCTAGAAGTATATACAATACATACAAGAACACAAGGGAGGAGGAGGATGCGGGAAATTACTTAATACTCTGTGTGCCTAAAGAACTGCTGGCTTTCTCTTGGTCTTTCGCTTTCTCCCCCCCTGACTCGAACTCAGCTGACGGGGTTACAGGAAGGAAACTAATCAGTTGAGCACTCATCCTCCCCAATGCAACAGAGATTGTGATATCAGGAGAAGTTATAAAATGCCACACTTAGAAAGACCCTTAAGTGCTCCGGCAGGGGTAGTACACCCGGATACTCTAGACAAGGACGGAGTAGAGGGATCCATGGATCCTGATACACTAAATGAAACTTCAGTGATGCTAAACGTGAAATCTAAAGCTGTGGATGTATCCCAGGTTCCCATGTTGTTAAATAAACCAGGACGGGTTGACCCCTCTCAGACTAGTCCTAACAGTAACCAGGAGGATGGAGAGGAGGAGGAGGAGGAGGAGGAGGGAGGTGCTCATGATACAATTACATCACTAGCTGGCGTTAAAATGTTGCAAAAATACCGGAGACAAATACGGGGTCACGGTTTTAATAGACGGGGTTCGCAGGGTTCTACTGCTAGACTGGAGGAATTGTTCAAGGAGGAACCTCTACTGGAGGAGGAGGAAAAAGCAGGACTGACAGATGAGGAGCAGGAGGAGGAGGATGAACCCGAGGATGTATTTATCCCTCCTGACGGAGGATACGGTTGGTTGGTTGCTCTAGGTGCTTTCATTTGCTTGTTCTGGACTGCTGGGTTAGTAAAATCCTACGGAGTTATCTTTGCAGAGATGATGAAACTGTATCCTGAGGATATCAGGTATCTATAGTCTAACAGAATATATATATATATGTATATGTATATGCATAAAACTTGAACATCCGCTTTGAAACCAGCGTATTTTCACAAAGAATACATGATGATTTTTTAAACTAAAACTTGTGTCCCGAACCTATAAACTTTTTTTGCAGATCTTAAATATTCAAGGACTTTTAAATAATACATTTAAGTTATGACATCATAATCATAAGTTTTATTGGCAAACTTAAATTTTTAAAAAGAATGCCAAGCATTTTGTTTTTTAATTAAAATTTTTAACATCAAAGTATCACTTTTAAGCCTAAGGGTTGAGACTCGAGTTCCTCCTGAAACATAAAACTTAGAAAACTCTGAAAATCTTAATCCGAAATTGCATCTATAGTATCTTAAAGTTACCCATGTAAGAGTACAGAAAGAATGATAAGAATGAATGATGTGCAGAAAGGTTTGCAACATGTTCGCTAAGGTAATCTATGCAAAATCTGGCAGGATAAGAGTTTAGAAACAAGGTCTGGAAACTAGAGATACAATCAAAGTTAGATCAGAGAAGATGCTTTTTTTCTCAAAGAACTTGAAATTGAGATAAATGTAGAGCTTAAGATTAAGACCTTAGATTAGCGGTAAGCAAATAAAAACGTCCAATTTTTCAGAGAGAAATTTAAATCTGTATTTGGATTTGAATCTGTATCTGAATTTAAATCTGTATCTGGATTTGAATCTGTATCTGATCGAATTTAAATCTGTATTTGAATTTAAATCTGTAGCTGGACTTGAATCTATCTCTAGATTTGTTTCTTTATCTGGATTTGAATCTGCATCTGGATTTGAATCTATCTCTGGATTTGAATCTGTATCTGGATTTGAATCTGTATCTGGATTTGAATCTATTTCTGGATTTGAATCTGTAGCTGGACTTGAATCTATCTCTGGATTTGTTTCTTTATCTGGATTTGAATCTGTATCTGGATTTGAATCTATTTCTGGATTTGAATCAGTAGCTGGATTTGAATCTGTATCTGGATTTAAATCTGTATCTGGATTTGAATCTGTATCTGGATTTGAATCTGTATCTGGATTAAAATCTGTATCTGGATTTGAATCTGTATCTGGATTAAAATCTGTATCTGGATTTGAATCTGTATCTGGTTTAAAATCTGTATCTGGATTTGTTTCTGTATCTGGATTTGAATCGGTATCTGGATTTGAATCTGTATCTGGATAAAAATATGTATCTGGATTTGAATCTGTATCTGGATTAAAATCTGTATCTGCATTTGAATCTGTATCTGGATTTGAATCTGTATCTGGATTTGAATCTGTATCTGGATTTGAATCTGTATCTGGATTTGAATCTGTATCTGGATTTGAATCTATCTCTGGATTTGAATCTGTACCTGGATTTGAATCTGTATCTGGACTTGAATCTGTATCTGGATTTGAATCTATCTCTGGATTTGAATCTGTATCTGGATTTGATTCTATCTCTGGATTTGAATCTGTATCTGGATTTGAATCTGTATCTGGATTTGAATCTGTATCTGGATAAAATCTGTATCTGGATATGAATCTGTATCTAGATTTGAATCTGTTTCTATATCTAAATCTTTATACAGAATAGATGCATATTGAATTTACAATACATTTACAATATAAACAATAAACATTACAATATATACGCATTACGCATGGGAACATATGGAAATTGTAGTACTAAACTTTTGAATTCGTAAAAAATATCAAGGTGTCCAAATTTCAATTCTTTTACAAGTTTAAAAAATGTGTTAAGGAATCTGGATATTTGTCCTTGAAAACGAAAACAAATTATGTTTTGCAAGCTAAATGTATTTACAATTGAACAAATCGGACTGACCCTTCGTATTTTTGACACGCTTTGACAATACACATTATAGCAATATACAAAGTGTGTATTTGAGAAACCTTACATTTACATAGATAACGAAGGGATACATTATACATAGTATGCATGTGAAACTAAAGATACCTGACATTTACATGGATACAGATGGATATATTATATATCGTATATGAATGTGATATTTAAGAGCATTTACATTTACATAGATACAAAGGGATACATTATACATGGTTTGCATGTGATACTCAAAAACCTGACATTTACATAGATACAGAGGGATACATTATACATAGTATGCATATGATACTCAAAAACCTGACATTTACATAGATACAGAGGGATAAATTATACATAGTATGATAGTATGCATGTGATACTCAAAAACCTGACATTTACATGGATACAGATGGATATATTATATATCGTATATGAATGTGATATTTAAGAGCATATACATTTACATAGATACAAAGGGATACATTATACATGGTTTGCATGTGATACTCAAAAACCTGACATTTATATATATAGATACAGAGTGATACATTATATTTATACATAGGATGCGAAAAGTGATACAAATATTATAAGCAAAAATGTAGAAAAACAAAATAAGACGAAATTCTGCTAAAGTTATATATATTCAATACAATAGTGGCTTACATAGTGCAAATTCAATACATTGCAACCCAAGGAAGGGAAATTAAACACAAAATCTGAACCGTCCTGTCTGTCAATGCATTTAATAAATTATTGATAAAACTTGATTGGACATAATCCCTCTCATTTTTTATTTATAAACTTGGTATACAAGTTACAAATGTCAAATTAAACAGTTTTTACTAAACCTTAAAAAGACAGTTGACAGAGGGGCATGTCCGATTCACAACGGTATTCTTTAAAGTTTTGTCTTTTCAATAAGAATAATATACTTTTTTTAATTTTTGCTTTCTTTATACATTATTTTCACCCAAAAAGTTTTTTTTAAAGCTATTAATGATTATTTTAATATTATCAAAATTATTAATGTTTAATTTTAACGTTCGCAGATGTTTGAATAACAGTTTTGAATATAACAAATCTAAAATAACATGGTTTTGGTGTTCTAGTTTCTAGTTTGGTGCAATTTGCAAAGTGGAAAACAAAACAAAAACTGGACTCTACAAAGTACAATGTAAACGTAAACACAAAACATGCAAAATGAAAAAAATATTAAGAAAAAACCTTTGTCAGGTTTAGGATAAAGAAGGTATCCCTATTTTTCTAACTGAAAAATTATTGCCGGAAAACCACAGTTTCTCGGCGCATACTTCAGAGTCAGAAAAATAGGAATATCTTTGTATTCTTGATCAGGCCAAAGGTTTCAAGGATACCGTTGTAAAATCGAAAACACCGCTCTAAAAAAGAAATTTAAAAGTAAATCTACAATCCTTTTGTACGAACGTTGTACACCATGAACCCAGAGCCGGGTCAACCTTTCCGGTCCCAGTTTGTACTGTACCTAGTTCTACGGACAGGACTAGCCGGTGCAACAAGGTTGACGCAGTCAGACTTTATGCTTCATATAGGTTTAATTTACTTTTACTAAAGGGGCAGAGGTGCATGTGATCTTTCTTAACAATAACAATTCCAAAGAATTACCGTAACTCTGAGCTTGGAGATTTTGTACAGTAAAAACGAGAAAACTTTGAAAAATTTAGCTCAAACATCTCTTGCAACCCGATATGATAGATCTTAGATAGTTCAAACTATGAATTCTGTTAGATCAAGAAGTCTCAGTTTGAAATATCAAAGGTTTACATCAGGTTGCAAAGATAAAGGAGTCACAAAATTTGAGTTTGTGACAAAAACTCAGTTTCTTTGTGTAACATTTGACTTTTATTTTGTTTGAAAACACAATGTATAGTTTAAAATTGTTGACCAGAATTGAAATATTTCCCCCCAGTTTATTTGTGATGTTTCATTGGGGTGTTTAACACGGATGCGAGCCATGAATGTGTTTTGACGTATGAATCTCAAGTTATGTAAGATTTAGCTGCAGGAGTATATTTATGAAGAGTAGAATAAGAAAATATATAAAAGACAGATGAAAGGAAAATTAGATGAAGTGAAATAGTGGAATATATGACCAAATACAGCCATTTGATATGATTTAAAGCAACTTTTGTATCTGATGCAATGATGAATCTTTGATATGCTTTAAAGTAACCTTTGTATCTGATGCAATGATTAATCATTTGATATGCTTTAATGCAACCTTTGTGTCTGATGCAATGATGAATTTTTGATATGCTTTAAAGCAACCTTTGTATCTGATGCAATGATGAATCATTTGATATACTATAATGCAACCTTTGTATCTGATGCAATGATGAATTATTTGATATGCTTTAAAGCAACCTTTGTATCTGATGCAATGAAGAATCATTTAAGATATGCTTTAAAGCAACCTTTGTATCTGATGCAATGATGAATCTTTGATATGCTTTAAAGCAACCTTTGTATCTGATGCAATGATGAATCATTTGATATACTATAATGCAACCTTTGTATCTGATGCAATGATGAATCATTTGATATGCTTTAAAGCAACCTTTGTATCTGATGCAATGATGAATCATTTAAGATATGCTTTAAGCAACCTTTGTATCTGATGCAATGATGAATCTTTGATATGCTTTAAAGCAACTTTTGTATCTGATGCAATGATGGATCATTTGATATGCTTTAAAGCAACTTTTGTATCTGATGCAATGATGAATCATTTGATACGCTTTAAAGCAACCTTTGTATCTGATGCAATGATGAATCATTTGACATGCTTTAAAGCAACTTTTGTATCTGATGCAATGATGAATCATTTGATATGCTTTAAAGTAACCTTTGTATCTGATGCAATGATGAAGCATTTGACATGCTTTAAAGCAACCTTTGTATCTGATACAATGATGAATAATTTGACATGCATTAAAGCAACTTTTGTATCTGATGCAATGATGAATCATTTGATATGCTTTAAAGTAACCTTTGTATCTGATGCAATGATGAAGCATTTGATATGCTTTAAAGAAACCTTTGTATCTGATGCAATGATGAATCATTTGATATGCTTTAAAGCAACCTTTGTTTCTGATGCAATGATGAATCATTTGATATGCTTTAAAGCAACCTTTGTATCTGATGCAATGAGGAATCATTTGGTATGCTTTAAAGCAACCTTTGCATCTGATGCAATGAGGAATCATTTGATATGCTTTAAAGCAACCTTTGTATCTGATGCAATGAGGAATCATTTGATATGCTTTAAAGCAACCTTTGTATCTGATGCAATGATGAATCATTTCCCTTTTTCTTCTTCGGTTTCTTCCTAAAATATCTATAAAATTTACAATGTATGTTTTTTCAAATATTTTGTGTTTAACTTTAGTGAGTAATAGGTATTTCTCTGATTAGCTAAAGGAACTATATGGTGAGTAATATTTCTCCTTAAATCCGGCAAGTTAAAGGGAGTGTAAAGGAAAAGTGAAAGGGCTGAAACCTGAGAATCTCTGAGTTGAACGATACCTTTAAGACATCTATCTTATGTTCCTGTCTCGAGAAATTGACATAAAACTTTGTCAATATTGTACCAAAATGTATATATGTAAGATTTACGTCCGTACCACGTCACCAGAACTCCTTCCAATGACAGTGCAGTACACTGGTCACGTGATACAGACGTAGGCACGTGACAATAATATTGCACTGTCATTGGTTTGAGTGCTGGTGACATGGTCCGGACGTATAAGTAAAATTATTAAATTCAAATAATAATAGGAGCAAACCTGAGTTTCTCAGACTCTTCTGGGATATCGTCGTTTTCAGATTGGTTGCGTATTTGTTGAATATGATCTGTTTAATATTACGAATATTATACAAATACTTACATAAATACGTTTTGGTTTTATATCAATTTCTCAAGACAGGAATATCAGATAGAACTCTTATTGGTCTCAATCAGCTCCTGAGATTATCAGGTTTCAGCCTATACGGTTATACCCCCTTTCATTTTTCCTTTATAGTCCCTTTAAGCTTAACTATATCCAAATAAACATTTTACTTTTAAAAGTGCAGAAAAAGACGTAAAATCATTGAACGTAAAACGTTTTCAAAGTTTAGTCGTAAGACTAACAAAGTATAGATTTTAGATATTAATATTAATTTTGAAGAAAATTCAAAAACTATGTTTTGTTTCATTTTAAACCAAAAAATGAGAAAAGAAAACTTTTTCAAAAAAAGTCAAGTTTATTATCTGTTTAATTTATAATGCAAATTTCAAGTTTATGCAGTTCTTAGAATACTGACGACTATCAGTTTTATGACTCATGAAGAATAATTTCATTAGACGCAAATTCTTAAAGATGACAGACACAAAAAATTTAAGTATTCCATTAACAAAAATAAAAGTTGTCCACATAATCATCAGAAAAACATGTTAAGCAACATACAGTGGTACCCATAAAACTGTGTGATAAGAAGAAGATTCATGTTATGATTTTATATGGTGACATGAACGTAAAACACAGCTCTTAGATCATAGTATATATTTGTATGTAAATATGTAAGATAAAGCTGAACAAACGGCTGAATCGAATTGGCTGAAATATTTTAAGGAAACTCATGGGATTAAATTTTTTTTAATATTTGGAGTTCCACGGGCAACGCCGGGTACTTCAGTCAGTATTGATTAAATCTCTTCTTCCTTTTCCACATTTGTTGTGGGCTTGCTGTAAGAAAGATAAAAAAGGAAGAGAGGGAATTAAATTTAAAAATGGAAAGAAGGATATGAAGGATAGAAAGATAGAAGGATAGAAGGATAGAAGGATAGAAGGATAGAAGGATAGAAGGATAGAAGGATTAAAGAATAGAAGGATAGAAGGATAGAAGGATAGAAGGATAGAAGGATAGAAGGATAGAAGGATAGAAGGATAGAAGGATAGAAGGATNCTTATTCTATTAAATCATGGCATAGGGATAGAAGTTAGATATAAACCTCTAGCTTACCATGGCATATATATATAGAGAAGATAGATATAAACCTCTAGCTTACCATGGCATATATATATAAACCTCTAGCTTACCATGGCATATATATATAGAGAAGATAGGTATAAACCTCTAGCTTACCATGGCATATATATATAGAGAAGATAGATATAAACCTCTAGCTTACCATGGCATATATATATAAACCTCTAGCTTACCATGGCATATATATATAGAGAAGATAGGTATAAACCTCTAGCTTACCATGGCATATATATATAGAGAAGATAGATATGAACCTCTAGCTTCGTTTAACAGGAAGCGGTGTTGAAAATTTATGAATGTTCAAGATAAGAGTTAATAATTTTGCTATTTTTAATCTAAGATGCATGAGAACCAATCTAAAGTTACTCAAGTTTTTTGTTTTTCTGCCAATGAGTAAATTTCCTACTTATTCATAAAGGACTCACAGTACTCTGCCGCTTTAGTATTTGTAAATTGGCGGTACAGTTCAAAGTAGGACAGCAAAGGTTGGCCCAGCTCGGATATTCAAATGTACGTCGATGGGGCGTGGACTTGATCGATTCTCTTTGACACAATTTTCTAATTCCTATATCTTCTCAACCCACGGTACATTCCAATTCATTTCATGTACCGGGCCGTATTTCAACAAGCCAGGGCAAGTACAGTACAAATACAGACTATATGAGACAAACGGGGCTGTATGCCAAATGAAGAATCTCCTTCTAGTGAAATCTATGTGAACCAGAAAGTGCAAACCTTTAATATTTCAAACTAAGATAATTTTATCTAATATATATAAATAATTTGAAATATCGATTTGTAAAGATATAGGGATTAGAAAATTTTAATTTGTGACAAATATCCGGTCTAATCCTCTATTATCTATTTTCAGAATCGCGTCCTGGATCCCGGCAGCTATGACAACAACTGCTCTAGCGATGGCTCCGATTGCTAGCGCGCTATGCCAAAGATTAAACTGCCGACTAGTGACAGGAGCAGGTGAATAATGTTAAGATATAAGAAATATGTAAAATGTAAATTTTTATGTCAAAATGTCTCTACACCAAAAAACTTTTTTAAAGGATTTATTCGACTGATTTTTCTTAATTTTTGTTATTAATAATATTCTTCTGTTTTTAATTATTTTTTACAGTAATCTCTGTCCTAGTTTATATTGTTTAATGTTCTATGCCTCCTGGTGTAAAACTTTATTAGACGTAGTTCTCTAGCCCTATACATTTCTCATTAAAGTAATACATAACTACATACACATTTTAATATATACACAAATAACATACATACAAGCACAGACATAAACATACAATAAAACACATATAAAAATAAACATGAAATTAAATTTCGCGTATTTTAATCTACTTACAAGAAAATATATCATTGTAGGGAGCTCCGCGCCTTTTATCTAGTATTTTAAACGTTGCTCTTCAAGCTGCCTTTTTTCTTTGTAAATCTTAAAACTAATATTGGATATTGGATACAGCAGACAGACAGACAGACAATCAAAGTACACATATAAGATGTTGCATTAATTTCACGCATTTTGAGTTTTGTTTTGTTTTTAGTTATATTTTTTAAATGTCATCTTTGTTTGAGGAATCCGTCAATATGTCAATAAATCAATACAATGCAATTTTCTCTATTCAAATTCCCGACAAGTGTCATTTATATTCTAACAGAGACTTAATAGATGTATTCCAAATATTTTAAAAATTCATGATTTTATTACTATTTTTAATATAACTTTTATTGAGCAACAAACTATGCTAAATATTATATCAAAAAAGGTTTTAACTATGATGTTTTAAACCTCGACTTGTATTTCTGAAACCAATGACACAGATGAATATAGATTTATTTCTCTACTTTCAATTCATTTTTAAAATTTTAATTCGCAGAAAGGTTGGGATTATAATTTAGTTTACATTAAAATTTTCCAAGTTTTAGAGAAAATATTTCTGATTCGGCCTGTAAATTTAATTTAATTTTTACATTTTAAATACTCTATATGAATTCCATCGCAATACAATACGAGAACACTTGAGCGCGATTCCTCACAGTTCCGCGCAATGTATTTCCGATTGGAAGCAATTCCGCACAGTTAGAAGCCCTACTTGAAACTCAACAATTGAGTTTATAAATTAGATTTTCGAATGACTTAAACTGTTCTTTGTTTCGAAAAATTGAAATATTATTAGATTGAGTCACATTTTCGAGCCACCCATCATTAACATTTCAATCAACTTTTATTTTATTTTTTAAGGTTCCATCATTGCAGCAATAGGGTTAACTTTGAGTGCTTTTATGCCAAACCTTCTCTGTATGTTCTTCACACTAGGGATACTAACAGGAGCTGGAATAGGGTTATCCACTACTCCAGGTAGGATATACAATACAAGGGAGCTGGGATAGGGTTATCACCACTCCAGGTAGGATATCCAATACAAGGGAGCTGGGATAGGGTTATCCACTACTCCAGGTAGGATATCCAATACAAGGGAGCTAGGATAGGCTTATCCAATACTCCAGGTAGGATATCCAATACAAGGGAGCTGGGATAGGGTTATCCACTACTCCAGGTAGGATATCCAATACAAGGGAGCTGGGATAGTGTTATCCACTTCTGTAGGTAGGATATACAATACAAGGGAGCCAGGATAGATTTTTTTCTCCTCCAGGTAGGATATACAATACAAGGGAGCTAGGATAGGTTGATCAACTACTCCAGGTTGGGTATACAATACAAGGGAGCAGGGATATGTTTTTTACTTCTCCAAGTAGGATATACAATACAAGGGATCAGGGATATGTTTTTTACTTCTCCAGGTAGGGTACACAGTACAAGGTAGGAGCATAATTGCAATTTGCAATAATAGGAGTGTAAAGACGTTTTTACGGATTAATTCTAGCATGCAATAATTTGCACAATTTTCTACAAAGTCTTATATAACCTTGTTTTTTCCACTATTCAGCTTGGGGTTCCTTTTACACGAGTAATCCTATCGATCTCGAGAATAATATTATTCCTTTTAGATCCTCAAGATTCTTGCTTATGGGTATAAAATGAAACACAAGATTAATGGGGACGCTCATGAAATAATAAAAAAATTCGTCTGGTAATGACACACAGTACAAGCTTCAAGATACGTTCAAAATGCATTTTTCTATTATTCTTAATACGGAACATTTTTCGTTTAAAACCACTTTTTAAAATTTGTGCACAGTCTTTTTAAGAAGTAAACAATACTCGATTATGGTGGGAGAACAAAATTAAAACAATGGTTTATCCTGAGAAAAACTACCAGTGCACAATATTTTTGCATTTAAATATACAGTAAATTTGCAATAAGGAATCACTAACCCGCTTGAATGAACTAGTAAGGTCATTACAAAGAAAGAGGTCGATTCTATTCCATTTTGATATTTATTAAAATCGTTCATGTTGAAGATATTTTTATTTTATGTAAGAAACAATCCTTTTAACATATTGTACACACATATGTACTCTGGATAACATCTTTTGCCTTCCAAAGTTGAAAATACAATGACCGGACTAATTCTCTTTATTTTACTCCAGGTATAATTCTGACCGCAAGATATTTTGATAAGAAGAGAGCTCGAGCTAACGCGTTCTGTCTCTCCGGTACAGCAGCAGGGAGCTTCTCTCTACCAATACTCATTCAAAACTTACTCAGGGATCAGTCTTACTCAGCCTTAGTCAACCTTACTCAACCTTAGTCAACCTTAGTAAACCTTAATCAACCTTACTCAACCTTAGTCAACCTTAGTCATCCGTAGTCAACCTTAGTAAATCTTAGTTAACCTTACTAAACCTTAGCCAACCTTAGTCAACCTTAGCCAACATTAGTCAACCTTAGTCAACATTAGTCAACCTTAGCCAACCTTAGTCAACCTTAGTCCACCTTAGTCAACTTTACTCTCCCTTACATATCCTTCCTCACTTATCCTTACTCATCCTAACTCATCCTTACTCATCCTAACTCATCCTTACTCATCCGAACTCATCCTTACTCATCCTTACTCATCCTTACTCATCCTTTCTCATCCTTTATCATTCTTACTGATTCTTACTCATACTTACTCATCCTTACTCATCCTTACTCATCCTTACTCATCTTTACTCATTCTAACTCATCCTTGCTTATCCTCACTCATCCCCACTCATTCTTACTCATCCTTGCTCATACTTGCTCATCCTTACTCAATACTCATTCTTACTCACCCTTACCATTCTTAATCATCCTACTTACTCATCCTGACTCATTCTTACAAATCCTTACTAGTCCTTACTCATCCTCAGTCATCCTCACTCATTCTTACTCATCCTTGCTCATCCTTACTCATCCTTACAAATCCTTACTCGTCCTTACTCATCCTTACTCAATACTCATCCCTACTTATCCTTTCTCAATACTCATCATTATTCATTCTTACTCAGCCTTGCTCATCCTTACAAATCCTTACTCAATACTCATTCTCATTAACTTTATTAACTGAAGTGATCCTTACGTCTCTTTCTTCAAAGTAGAGTAGGCCATTTTCAGTCATTTTTTAATCCTTCCTCATTCTTGCAATTTATTTCGCAGGTGTAGTCAATTTAAATTTGCATTCTTACATATCTATTTAAGTTTAACATTGCGCATTAGGCATATCTAAAATATTTCCTTTCATCCTCTTTAATTCAAACCAACCATGATATAACACAGACTTTATTTTAAATATTTCTGTTCACAGTACAATTTATTTTCTCCTGATTTACTTTTCAACCCAAACACAGTTTTTGACCGTTTAATATTTCTTTTCTCCTGATTTACTTTTCAACCCAAACACAGTTTTTGACCGTTCAATATTTCTTTTCTAACATTTACACAGAATTGAGTTTAAAAAACCGGTTTAATATTCTATTTGACGGATTTTCATTGCGAGAATTGGCGCATTCCGGGTTTTTATGAGAACAAGACGCAACATTGAGCCTTATTCTCTACTAAAACCAACCAAGGTCGGTTTTATTTTTATTGGGCCTAATTCCTTAAGTCGAGCTGAAGATTTTTCAGCCGTCAATTATAACGTGACACAAGCTGTCGTCAGGGTTGGGTCGAAGATTGGGTCTTAAAGTCGGGTTTAAGGTATTACGGCTCGAGCCGAAGTTTTTAAATCGCAGGCTCTGAAAAAGTTGTCTTCATCTAAACCCTGAACTTCTATGATGAGTAAGATGTTGTACAGTGTGTACGGTTTCTCCGGTACTCTACTCCTGCTTGGAGCCTGTATGCTCCATGCTCTGATAAGCGCTGCTCTTTTCCGACCTTTAGCTGTTCATGTTCAAATAATCAGGAATAAAGCTAACAAAGCTGCCCGAGATGCTCTAGAAACAGAAGCAGCCGCCGCACTACAAGCTGCTCCGACCAGAGAAGTAGATATTGAAAATGGAACTGCTCCGGAACCAATAAAAAATGTGGATAATGGTTCGGAGAAACCTGTTGATGATGAATATCCTGTTCCGTCTTACTCCAGTAGCTGTCCTCAGCCCAGTTTCATGGGAGACATGAGGTAACATTTTAATATTCATCTAAATATTCATCCATATTGATTCTAATCCTGTGTCACGCAATATTTGATCCTTTATATACACTAAACAGTGCTTAGTGGATCCGCATCATTTCGGATCCTTGGATTCGGATCCCTGGATTCGGATCCTTGGACTCGGATCAGGGAGCAAGGAATAGAAGGGAGAGACAACTGACGCGGTTCGCCCTACCATATGATTATACATGCTTTGCAGACGGTACTCCATTTTATATCGAGCTGTTTGAGTTTTTAGTAGGGCCCCACAGGAAAAATATGTATTGGCTCAATTTTCTTTCTCCAGTTTCGCCAATACATATTTTTCCTGTAGGGCCCTACTAAAGAAACCAAACAGCTCGATATAAAATTTTATATCGAGCTGTTTGGTTTAATATAGGGATTAGAAAATTTGAGTTTGTGGCAAAGGATGAGTTCCTTTCGGAAAATTTTCCTTTCGTTAAAAAATTAGTATGAAAATAAATGAGCTGGACCCGGATTAAATTTTTAATGGCTTATCAAGGTTCCGGATATAAATTATCCAAATACTGATTCCCTCCTGGATTTATCTAATCCTTGTTATTTCTCCAGGTCCCGTCACAACTCAGAGGAGTTCCCTGCTCCTCTTGTTCCTCTCTCCAGGTTCAGATATATCGACAACTCGTTCGATACGATATCTATGATGAGCAGTGTTAGCAACAGGTTTGTTTTCTTATTCAATCTGCGGTATTTTCAATAGAGAGGTTATAGTATATAGAGTATAGACTATAGAAGGACTAACTGGAAATTTCTAAAGAACTAACAGGAAATTTCTTAATAATTATTTTTGTTCCAGTTTTGTGCAGATACCGTTTTATTATTATTGTTGGCGTATTCAGCAATTTGTCTAGGCGGGGGCTTAACATTTTTTCTTTACAAATCTGTTTTAGCCACAGCGCTAGGCCCCTTGTCTTTTCATAGCCGCAGCGCTCTGTCCAGATACCTAACCCACCCCTGAAATAATATATAAAGTATCACAAGGTTGCATTCCATAAAAATTTGAGGAGGGGGGAGGGGGGAGGGGGGCTTGATCAGCCATTCTAGGAAGAATTTTAAAATCAAGGCTTCTTACAGTTATTCTAGACCGCAGCTTTTCGATTCAAATTTTTAAATTGTAAAAAAAAACTTTTCGTCAAACTTTTCTTTAACTTTAAGCAATATTTAATGCGATGGTTTAATTTAAAGATTTTGAATTTGAATGCAGAAATCATCAGGATTAAATGAAAATGGTCATTTTGTTAAATATACACACACAATGAAAAAAAAAAAACAATTTTCTTTACGCACTTAGCCAGCAAACTACAAAAATACTCATATCTATAATTTTTTTAAGTTTTCAAAATTAAAAGATTGGCTTTGTCCAATAGTACATCATTTTAAAAGTGAACTGTCCCTTATATGAATTAATTTGTTTTCAAGGTGGGATGAAGGGATTATTACTAATATTCAGATTGATAAAGGAACTGAGTTTTTGTCACAAACTCAACTATTCTTATCCCAATATTAATTCTGTTAGATCAAATAATCTAAGTTTGAAATATCAAACTGATTGCAGAGATATAGAAATTAGAAAATTTGAAGTTGTGGCAAAAACTCAATTCCTGAAAAAATTAAAGATGAGATGTATTTTTTCCTACAACTTTACTATTTAGACTTTTAAGAGACCTTTCTCCGATAAACCTTTCATTGCGTGATATATATATTCAATTATACAATTGTATTCTGTACATCTAGTCATAGCAATACAAGGTTGTATCAAAAGACGATTTTTAATATTCTAAATACAATTCAGTAATTTCACAAAAGTGTTGTTTTCATTTCTACCATCAGAATGGTTTAATAATTTGGACGTTGTTAAGATAAATTCGGAAACCTCCTAAAAGCATTATTTGGCAATTTTTGTTGGAAAACCTAGTAAAGGATGTCCAAATAATCATGGGAATGAAGCAAGGTTGTATATAAGTATCTGAGCACTCTGTATGCGCTCCAATGTCGGTAAAGACGACCTTTATAACTATGGACATTCTAAAGACGCATATGACGTCACAGCTTATTTTAAAGAGTAATACATTTTGCAGCTCACTAATATTAAATCAACTCAAAAATTAAAAATTTGAATTAGTTAGAATTCCACTTTTTAGCTTCAAACTTGTCACCACAATAGTCAACCTTTTTTTAAACGTGATGATTGTTAGTTTAGTATCAGTGACGTCATATGAGGTTTTAGAGTCTCCATTGCAAGAAAGACGACATTTACCTACATTAGAGTGCATCTCAAGTTTCTAACCTTATATGCAACCTCCATAGAATGAAGTAACATAAAGACCCATAAAACTGTGGAATTGGAAGACGACATTTGAGCAATTTTATGTGTAGTTTAAAGCAACGGTTTTACAAGTAGTATGAAATAACCTGATGAGTCTGTGTACACTGCACAATGGCTGTGTTTCATAGATTACAAAAAATACCACTTAAGATAAGTCGTCCTCCTGTTCCATAGATTTGGGGTATCACTGTACTGGGATTTTCACACCTTCTTTCTGTATTGAGATAATAAGATTTTTTTCCAGTTTCATTTTTTAAGATTCAAAAGCAGAGAGACATTAAAACAACTGTTTATTCATTATTGATACAACTTTATACTTATTACGGACGATTTAATGTCGTCTCTTGATTCCCATAGTTTTTGGACGCACTGTAAATTAACCTAAGTAAAAACAATTTGGAATTCTCCAAATTATATTAGAGATATAATGGATTGTATAGAACTGTAGTGTAAAGAATTAGTGCATAGAAAGAAAGGAAATAACAATTTTTCTAGGAACATTTTTCATCCTTAGAGTAATTAAATATTTTTATTATTGACAAGGATACGGCAATGTAGACTTAATTTAATATTATTTCTAAATTTCATTCGCCGACCAGATTTACACCAGATTTACACCAGATTTAGACCAGATTAAGACCAAATTAGCACAGATTTAGACCAGATTTAGACCAGATTATGACCAGATTTAGACCAGATTATGACCAGATATAGACCAGATTTTAGATTTAGACCAGATTTAGTACAAATTTAGACCAGATTTAGGCCAGATTTAGACCAGATTTAGACCAGATTTAGTACAGATTTAGACCAGATTTAGACCAGATTTAGACCAGATTTAGACCAGATTTAGGTCAGATTTAGACCAGATTTAGACCAGATTTAGGCCAGATTTAGACAAGATTTAGACCAGATTTAGACCAGATTCACACCAGATTTAGACCAGATTCACACCAGATTTAGACCAGATTCACACCAGATTTAGACAAGAATTGCACCAGATTTAGACCATATTTAGACCAGATTTAGACCAGATTCACACCAGATTCACACCAGATTTAGACCAGATTAACACAAGATTAACACCAGATTTATACCAGATTTAGACCAGATTCACACAAGATTTACACCAGATTTATACCAAAATCACACCATATTTATACCAGATTCACACTAGATTCATACCAGATTTAGACCAGATTCACACCAGATTTAGACCAGAATTACACCAGATTTACACCATATTTAGACCAGATTTAGAACAGATTTTGATTAAGATCGTAATATATATTTGAAGAAAAAAAAACGTCATTGAAATTTCTTTTTGGGGTAACCCTGTATGAAGCAAAACAAGATAAATTTCTTATTCTTAGGTAGACACTAGACATGTTTCGAAACAAGATAAATTTCTAATTCTTAGTTACACAATAGACATGTTTTAAAACAAGATAAATTTAATTTAAGAAAAATACTTTGATATTAAATTCTTGTTTTAAAAACAGAAATAAAAAAGTGAATTTTCTATTTAAACATAACTTTTTTCTGTAAAGTTAGAACCCAGATTAGATTAAAATACAGATTTAAAAGATTTACAAAATATGGTCTAATAGAAATGATGAAGATATTAAAAATCTAGACTCACAATAATCTTTAAAATGGAATATGAACTACAAAAAGGTCTACGATATTAAGTTGCAAAGATTGAAAAGGGATTATGAAATCAGAGTTTGTGGCGAAAACTCAATTCCTTTCCTTGCCATTTGAAAAATTCAGTTCGTAATACTTAAAACAATCTGACCACTGGCTGTCTTTATTATTCTTTAAAGGTTCCATCATGATAGCACTCATAAATCATATGATAAAGTGCGAAAAGGGACTATAATATTAGGAGCCCCTTTATGTAAAACAGGACTGTAATATTAGGAGCCCCTCTATGTAAAACGAGACTGTAATATTAGGAGCCCCTCCATGTAAAACGGGACTGTAATATTAGGAGTCCCTCTATGTAAAACGGGACTGTAATATAAGGAGCCCCTCTATGTAAAACGGGACTGTAATATTAGGAGCCCCCTCTATATAAAGAGTCACCGATTTACAACGGTACTTTTTCTAACTATACAATAAGGAAGATTGCCTGTTTTCTATTGTAAAAAAGGGATTAATTCTGCCAATTTTCATCCTTTTTTCATGTGCAAAAATCTGAAGTCACACTTAAAAAGAAACTACAATTGAAAATTATCAATTTTCCGGCAGAAAAACCAAGGATATCTTCATAACTTTTGTCCAAACAAATATTTTAAAGGTACCGTTGTAAATCCGGTATTTACCTCGTCAAATGGACTAGAGAAAGGATCTAGAAATTCTGAACAATACATTTAAAATATTATATTTCAGGTCTTCTGAGCCGGATAGATACAACGAGATTGAACCAGGATTTCATAAAGATATCTCCGGTAGTAGATTAGACAAGAAGAACATGTTCTACAGACAGGAATCCGACATATCTGCTGCTACAGCTAAATCCTTGAGTCTACGCGAGCTAGCAATCCACCAAATCGGTAGCCATCTTAATCTTTACAAAGCTATGTTACTAGGCTCTAGCCCTAGGTCTGGAGATGTTAACAGCTCAGATGAATCTAAATTAAACAGGAAATCCAGCTTTATGTTCAGTTGCGAGGATATCATGGTGGACTCCACATCTATTCTCAAGGACTCCAGACATCCATCCCACACACATCTAGCTCATGGGACACAAGACGGGACAACTCATAGGGTTGTAACTCTTAACCGGACCCAGAGCGCGGTTGGACAAGTCACTAGAAAACCGTCTTGTCGTCGCCAAAGAAACTTCTCTGAGTCCGATTACGACCCAGTGTTTAACAAGAACTTGTCATTCTGTAATCTCTCCGCAAAAGACAGAAAGATAACGTTGATCGGTTCAACGGAACTGGTTTCTGAGGAATCCCAGAAAAAGAAATTTGCCGTCCATCCGGCTTCAAGCTCGGACAATGAAAAAGTTGTGAAGAAACGTGAAAGTATAATGGATAAAATATCCCGGTATATTGATCTATCCCTGTGTTTGAACCCGGTGTTTCTCCTGCTAGCCTGTTCAGTAATGATGATGGCAGTGGGTATGCCTCATTGTCTCTACTTCCTTCCAACCTACGCAATGAACGCAGGTCTCTCCTCATCTGACGCTAGTCTCCTCCTCTCTCTCAGTGCTGTATTTGATCTCGGAGGAAGGTTGGTTTTCGGATTTCTTCTTGACCTCAACCTGTTCCCGAAGTACCTGGCGTATGCCTCGATGATGTTCCTGGCGGGGTTCGCTGCCATCTCTCTTCCCTCGGCCACAACCTTCGTTGAGATCTCCGTGTGTATGGGCTGCTATGGAGTAGGTACGGGCAGTTGGTTCCTCATGGTTCCTCTTCTCTTAGCAGAACAGTTAGGGGTGGAGAAGATTGCATCCTCCTATGGTCTAGTGAGATTCTTCCAATCACTCACAAACTTTTCCGGACCTATGGTCTCCGGGTACCTTTACAGTAGTACAGGATCTCTCCAGGCCTCATTCTACTTCATGGGTTCAAGTATTCTTATAGGAGGAATAGTGATTCTCTTCCTTCCTTTAGCATTACGATGTGACAAAAAGAGAAATCAACCTGAACAGTGAGCAATCAGACAGATTCTGAACTTTTCTTGAACCCTCATAAATTTGTACATGATAAATTGCCTAACATGATTATGATCTATTCCTAATCCTGACAAGGTATTGATCTTTCTTCTGATCCTTATCCCAAACTTGATCCTGCTACTAATACTGATACTGCTCCTGATCCTATTCCTCATACTGCTCCTGGCCTGATTCTGATACTGATTCTAATCCTGACACAATTCAGATTTAATCCTGGTAATGTCCCTATTATGACACAGAAGTTATAACTGACCCTGATAATGTTCAGGATTTGATTTTGATCTTAATCCTGATCCTGATATTGTTCCTGAAATAGTTCCGATCGTAATCCTAATCCGGATAATGTTCCTGACATGGTTCTGATCCTGAATTGTTCCTGACATAAATTTGATCTTACTCCTGATATGATAAAGTTTCTTATACAATTCTGATCATAATCCTGATTCTGATAATGTTTCTGACATAGTTCTGATCTTAATCCTGATCCTGATAATGTTTCTGACATAGTTCTGATCTTAATCCTGATCCTGATGATGTTCCTGACATTGTTCCGATCTTAATCCTGATCCTGATAATGTTTCTGACATAGTTCCGATCTTAATCCTGATCCTGATAATGTTCCTGACATGGTTCTGATCTTAATCCTGATCCTGATAATGTTCCTGACATGGTTCCGATCTTAATCCTGATCCTGATAATGTTTCTGACATAGTTCCGATCTTAATCCTAATCCTGATAATGTTCCTGACATGGTTCTGATCCTGAATTGTTCCTGACATAAATTTGATCTTACTCCTGATATGATAAAGTTTCTTATACAATTCTGATTTTAATCCTGATCCTGGCACAATTCAGATCTGAACCAACCCTGATATCGTTCCTGACACATCCTTAACCCTGATCCTGATCATAAACTTGATCCTGAAATTTATTCTTATATCCTCAATCCTCAGATTCTGATCACTTCAAGCAATCATTTATTTTTTTTTACTTCAAAACATATTTGGCTCAAAATGAATCTGGATCTGATGAAAAAAATCATCTTTTATTCGAGTCACAAGGTCACACTTACAACACAAGTATTGAGAATGTATTTTTAAAAATATTTCTAAAATAATTTTGTTAGTACTCTCTGACTCCAGGTACTAGCTAGGACTGCTGTGATATTTATAATTCAATCATTGAACGTAGTGCTACAGCACAACTAAATTTTATGTTTAAAAAAAACATTTTTCATATATTATATTTATTACTTTGTATTATGAATCCATTTCCACATTCCAATGGATTGCCTGAAACCAAAAACAGAATATTCACGCTGTATAAATTGCTATTATATAATTATTTACAAAATAAAGCTAAAAAACGTTGTTTTTGATAATTTAGGTAGATATATGATATATGTATATAATCTCAAGTTACCCTTATAGCCATAGATTAATTAAAATAACTTTATGTCGTCTTTTCAAGATTTCTGTGTGTATCGTTCACAATAACCCTGAGGCAGAAACCCAACAGAGAGAGAGCCTGTTCTATAACGCCGACTACGTGTAACTCCATTTGGCTTCTGCCTCATGTTTATTCTGAATGAATCACACAGAAATCTTGAAAAGACGACATCTAGTGTTATATCTGTTATTTTAATCAAGCTATGCTTATATCAAACTGATTTTCCCTGTCGTACGGATGAAGGCTAAATTAAACTTTTTAGAAAATGCCTTTGGAATGGGAATACGAAATTTAAACAATATTGTGTTTTTTTGATAGCAAAAAGTAGTAGCTTTTAAATCAACTTGTTTAGTGTAGATGGGAACAGTTGCGGAAATTCATGTTTATTGGACTCATAGATTAATCAAAATAACAGATAGGACACTAGATAACGTCTTTTCAAGATTTAGAGATTTTTCGTTCACAATAAACCTGAGGCAGAAGCGGAGTTTCGCACAGGCAGCGTACGCTCTCTTCCTGTTTTGTAATTCGACGCTGCCTGAGCGAAACTCCTTAGGGCTTCTGCCTCAGGGTTATTGTGAACGAAAAAGCCCTAATTCTTGAAAAGACAATATTTATCTGTAATTTTAATTGATCTTTGATTGTACTATTTAAAGTAATAACATAGTGCATAATTACATGGTTACCCGCAAAATATGATCGTCTTTAATGACGACCCAAAACTCATTAAAAAATACGTTCTAAAGGTTGCATCTGGACGTATGTTTTTAATTAGGGTTTTAAAGGGAATATGAAATGATATGTACACTGTACAACACGTCATGCTGAACATTGAGAAACACTCTCAGATCTCGTGAATGTGATATTTAATTATTTATTCAAATCTTTAAAAAAAATAGATAGTTTGAAAAATTCCGACTACTTAAACCAAGGTTGTATGATAAGGTAAGGTTGCTTACTCTCAATGCTCTCCAATGTAAGGAAAATGTCGTCTCCTCAGGAAAGATAGATAGAATCCGCGTATGACGTCACTGATCATAGAGGCGAGAGTGACGTCATATGCTTAATATATCTATCTATGCTAAGGAGACGACATTTTCCGTATTTTGGAGCGCATCGAGATTCGAGATTAACCTACTCTATTAAAGAACCTTGACTTAAACAAAGCTGCAGAAGAAGACGACATTTGTTTTCGTCTGTTCAGATATTTGCTGGAAGCCGCTTGTAAACACGGATACATGTTACGGCAGGTTTCCCAGAGATTGTGAGCGTCATCTTCATCGTTTCACCATCTTCGCTAAACTCGCGATCCTGAATAATTATTTATTTACATTTTGTTCACTCCCCAATATTTCACAACAATACAGAGTGTCTCTGGAAAAAGTGTGTTTAGGCTTTTACTTGGGAATTAAGAGGCGAATTTGAAGTCGTCTTTGCAAAGAATTAGCGTTGTGTTACCTAATTTCAATGGTCCAAATAAAGTTACGTCTGCTAGAGCATATTTTATGTAAACGGTAAAAGACTGTTTCGTTATTCTGCAAAACGTTGATATGATGTTCTGTAACATCTCTGTAAGATAAACAGTGAAGAGAGACAACTGTACTGTGTTTGTAAACACGAACTTCTAATATCATTAAGTACACCACAGTATGCTATAAAATCATAAACAAACAAAATCTAAACTCTTGCAGACGGATTATAGCTTTCTTACTAAATAAAAAATTCATTTACAAAGACATTAACAATTGTCAACGAATTCTCGTGTTTATTGAGACACCCTGTACTAAACATCGTTGTATTTTGTTAAAAAGTCCATAATTGAGGGAGGGGGTCGTAAATGAAACATTTTCCTCTAAAATGCCGTTTTAACCGTCCAAATTAGGCCTAATATTTGAAAATGTGCTCGGGCCCATTTTGGAAGATAATAAAATTTCTTTTTCAGCCACTAAACATCGTTTTTTTTTAACATTTGGGACAATACCTGCTTGTAACCGTTGCATATAATCCTTTGAGGGGTTGAGTTTTAAAATTTTTGAAGAAATACTCTGACTTTTAAAATAAAACATAAAATTTATGAATTTATTCTATTTTGAAGGTATTGTATTTCGTATCCAAAGGATCCTTAAATATCCCTGAATACAGATGTCTGATTATGGTTCGTGTACTCCAGTTGTACACAATGGAACCTGCTGTGGAAAATATCGCATTTCTTTAATAGATCTCTGTATTGTCTTATACAGGGTGTCCCACGAAACATGGCTGTTGGTGAATAGTTCTTCTTCCACATACTATATTAGATATTTTTGCAGTTTATTTAGTTTAAAAAACTTTACTCAAATATATTTTACTTAGAAATCCATTTTTCTATAATGGATGCCATAAAATATTTCTTATTATTCTCTTTGGTAAAAAACAACTTGACATATAATGGAAGACATTTTAAACTATTTACCAACTGTCATATTTCGTGGGACACCCTGTATCTGATTTGACCCACCTCCTGGGTAGAATGGTATCCAGTTGATGGATCAGGAACTTGAACCTTTCTTAGAATATTTCCTTCAAGAGTAGAGATCGTCTCAGTCACACGACCATCTAGATCATACAGAGCGTCCCATATCTTATTAGATTATCGCCAAGCTATAACGTCAAAATAAACACATAATTCTTGAAAAAAGCCCTAGCAGTTTCTGCCAGAAAATTTTGATATTAGTATTTTTAAATTTTTCAAAATGGTTCATTCTTTTCTGATTAGTCCCCAAAATCGTAATTTAGACAATTGACGATCTAATATGATGTGGGACACCCTGTATCTTAATATTAATATTAGGCGTACTTAAAATTAAAAATACAGAGCCTATCATTAATAAAAATAGTCATTAGCGAGGTAAAATTAAAGACCAATGCGTTGCGACAAATCTATTTTTCAATTGAAACATTGAATATCTCACTCATTAATTCGGATATGCCAATAAGCATGAGGATTACTTTAAATTATGTTTAAGATGTTGGATTTTTTTTAAAAGGTTTATATGACTAGGTATAAAAGGTTTATATGACTAGGTATAAAAGGTTTATATATCCAAATAGTTTCTAATAATGGTCAGTGCCCAGCTGCCCACCACCCAGGGGCGGATATAAGGATTCTGTAGGGGGGGGGTAAATATTTTTAATATGACGCGCGAAGCGCACCGAATTTTTTTTATCCCCCNAGGGGGGGGTATTTACCCCCAGGATTCTAGGGGGGGTATTTACCCCCAGGATTCTAGGGGGGAGTAAATAACCCCAATAACCCCCCTTATTTACGCCACTGCCACCACCCCTGCACGGTCAAATACATATTTAATTAAAACCTCGTCTACGGAGATTCAGATATCTTCACTTTCGAACACATCAAATATTTTTGTATTTCCGTTTTCTACTTTTTTGGCTATTCATTTTGAAAATTAAAGAATTAATGTATTTTAGAGATGATGAGATTATATTATCATTAAAGGACATATTTATAACTACAGTTGGTTTTATGTGGATTGGACAAGCATTGATATAGGTTTTCATATACCCAAACAACAACATGTTCCGGAAAGGTATAATTTTTATTGTTACGGTAGGGGTTCGACAGGATGTTCACTTCTTATACAATCCTAGGAGAGAGTCATGACCGTTCAGTATCGTTGTCACGTGATACAGACGGAAATCACGTGACCAGTATACTGCACGTATACTGTACAGTATACTGCTGAATATGATCTGTGAATATAATTACTACAACTTTTATAAAAAACTACATTTATGAATTTTCGTATTACACAGTTTTATATCAATTTCTCGAGACAGGAATATCAGATAGAAATATCTTAAAAGTATCGTTCAACTCCTGAGATTCTCAGGTTTCATCCTATACCCCCTTTCATTTTTCTTTATAGCCCCTTTAAGCTTAAGAAATAACCATTGCATCAAGACAAGTACACAAACAATTCATGAAATTACATACAATACTACAATTTTGACAAGACAGTTTTTGACATAAATTTTCTTTATATCTAGAGGGTTTTAGATTATATTTTGTCCCGCTGTAAAGCTCTGGATACAGCATAAGCTGAGGGGGCTTAAACCTTCTCGATAAAGAAAAATGTTCGCATCTTAAACTTTATTGCAATGCGTACCAAAAAAAATGTTATTGTTTAATCATGTACACTGTACAGTGATAACCAGAAAACTCTGGAATAGGAAGTCGACTTGTAAACTCAAGTTATGACTTTAAATAGTGCAATGAACATGAGGCAGAGTAGACTCATTTTAATTCATTTAATAACTTCCAAATAAAGATTTTTGTTTTGAAACAACATCAAATGCACTTAAGTAATGCTTTAATGTCGTCCTCTTTGTCCATAGTTTTCTAGTTTATCCCTGTACGAGGAAAAAAATAATTAAAAAGCAAAATAACCATTATAAAGAAAGGTGTGAAGCGCTCTGAAAGTCTGCAGTTTCGTTAACGGTTAAATGAAACCGTTAAAAATAGTTTTTAGCTGAAAAGAACTTTCCCAATAAATTATCAAAAAATTAAAGTAAAAAAAACGCTTCAGAGTTCAAAATATACATCTCCAGCGCTACAAATAAGTTAAAGTCAGTTAATATTTAAGTTGGTAGTAGAGTAATGCAACTTTTGATCTCTGTCTGGATCTCTGTATTTCAATACCTGCAGTAGTCTCCTCCCAGGGTATATTCAGTTTAAACTTGGTATCTGTAGAACGGATTGGAGTCTCAGTTATCAGACTTATTTCATCTTCATCCTGACTAAATACAATAATAATAATAATAATAATAATAATAATAATAATAATAATAATAATAATAATAATAATAATAATAATAATAATAATAATAACTGAAAATAAAGGTTTAGTTTACAGTTTTATTACTCCCTTTAAAAAAAAATTCCTCAGAGACTAAATTTTATGAATTTGAGCTAAGTCTCTAAACTTCTTTTGTGACAAAGAAATTGAGTCTTTGAAACAAACCCGATTTTAGAATTCAAATATCTTTTCATCCCAATGTCACCTAGGCCTTAGATATTAGATATTAAACATTTAAATATTAAAGACTAAAACTTTCAAGTTGCAAAGATATAAATCTGGTTGGGAATTTTATTTTATAATTGTTTTTAAGTTTAGCGTTTAGGTTAAGTAAAGGGAAAATTTATAAATGATTTCTTCGTGAGATCTTGCAACCTATAGATCAATGTGTGAATGATTCACAAAATTTTGTAGACAACTTTTAGCAGAAATTTATAAATGATTTCTTCGTGAGATCTTGCAACCTATAGATCAATGTATGAATGATTCACAATATTTTGTAGACATCTTCGTGAGATCTTGCAACCTATAGATCAATGTATGAATGATTCACAATATTTTGTAGACATCTTTAAGCAGAAAATTATAAATTGTGTTAAAATGTTCTTTATGCAAAGAGCTTTTTGATCCCTCTAGATAAATATTTGAATCACATAAAATATCCAATAGTATTGGTAAACAGAGAAAGAAAAATTTATAAGTTCTCAATCATTCTTTTTCAAAAGTAAATAGCATACATTAACTTTAAAATTTGCAGGTAAAATTGCAAAGTCTTTGCAGAAAAAAAACACACATTAAAAATCAACGAAAATTGTTTATCGTTCCTTTGTATTTTAGGATACACTTGGATTTAAAACATTATTTTGATTACAAGCCCCCATAAAATGTTAAAAGTTTCCTTCATAAAAAAGTATGGATTTTTTTATCTTTAATAAATAGACTTGGGTTTCGCTTTTTTTAATCTTTATTTATAAAACCAACCAGACAGAAGCTTTAAAGGGTCTGTTGGCGACCGGCGTAAATTCAAGTTATTTTTGATTTGAAAAGTTAATTTCCAAAAATAAACACAAGTGTACCTTTAAACCTTTTATCTGAGGAAGATATCTTTTTTTCTATCTTGAAAAGTTCTATGTCTTTGCTGCATAAATCGCCACATTCACTGATTTTTAATTTAGAAATCTTTGCAATCCGGTGTCTGAGACCTTTGATATTTCAAAACTATCAATTTTGTTAGATTTAAATATCAAAAGTGTACATCATCAGGTTGCAAAGTTAAAGGAATTAGAAAATTTCAGTTTGTGACAAAACTCAGATCTATCTTATCCTTTTGAACCGTGCATGTGATGAAACTCAATATCATATGTAAACAATGATGTTGTGAATCTTTTATGACAAACAAGGGAACTTAAACTTAAGCGCACACTCCCTTGAAGTTTCTTCTTGACAACTTTTTGAAAGTTTTATCTCAGAAATATTTAACTTTAGTTTACTAAACTATAAAGTCTGATGGATGCAAAGTTAAATAAATAATTTTACTTTTAGTTTTTAATGTCTACATTTTTCTTCTTTTTTTACTGGTTACTTCATATTCATCTATAATATACATTTAACGTATAAAATAATTCAGGGTTACAACATAATATTCACTTAAATATCACCGGCATGACTTTCAAACTTTGAACTCTTCTAGCTTCCATTTTATACCCAAGATGAAGAATTGGTTTTTTGAAAAAAAACGATCTTATTTCTCCGGTAGTATTGATAGGTATTTTTTATATTCTTTACTCCCCCCCCCCATTTCTNTTCTTTGTATTCTTTACTCCCCATTTCTCCAGTAGTATAGATAGGTATTCTTTGTATTTCTTACCCCACCTTCGTTTCTCCGATAGCCTTATGTATAATTTTACTCCTCTCTCTCTGGGTGTATAGAGTATATGCCCCCCCCTGCCTTCTCTGGATCCCCTTTCCTACTTTAGACAGGATTAATCTTGAGAATCTTGACCGTGTAACTTGATTAAATACATATATACAATAAAGATGCAGGCATAAGAACTGCTTCTATTAGGGTTCCCAATCTTTTCTTTATAAATCCCACCCAAGCGTTACGTATATTTTCTCTGTATGTCGATGCGTTTCTCAATCTTTTCCATGATCAATTTCATCTGGAATTATCATACTGCATATATCTTTTTCCAGTAGGTCGATGTTTTTTTCATCTTTGTCATGATCAATTTCATTTGAAATAATCTTTTTCAGTGCGTCGATGCAGGCTAGTTCTTTGTATAGTTCCTATGAAATAGTTTTGATTAAGAAAGATTTTGTCTTTGACTTCAATAGTTTTACTTTCTTTTCTGCTTTAGGAAGACTTTTACGGTAGCACAAAAGGCAAAGCTTTCTATTGAACCAAAAGAATTGAGTCTTTGCCACAAACTCTGATTTTATAATCCCTATACCCTTGGAACCCAATGTCGTAAATCTTTGATATTACAAACTTATATTATTTGATCTAACAAAATTCATAGTTTGAAATATCTAAGGTATACGACATTGGAATCTAAGGATATAGGATTTAGAAAAGCAGAGTTTGTGGTAAAGACTCAATTCCTTTATCCCGAAAAGAAGTGAAACCCTAGTTTCTGTACTTTCCTATTCAAACTAACCTCCCAACCTCAGTAAAGTTACACATAAAACAAGAATTAGCTCTAAAACTCAGTTTGAAGTAAACTTTTAATTATGAAGGTTTAACTATTCATTACAGGGAGGCAAGGGGGATGTAACAAATTACAGGGAGGCAAGGGGGATGTAACAAATTACCCGGAGGCAAGGGGGATGTAACAAATTTCCCAAACATCTCTCGCAACGCTCATGATGCTGTAGGACCAAACACGGTCTTGGAAAGCCTGAGCAATGTACTATGTTCCTAACTATATTTATTGCTTCAATTGAAAATTAAATTTGTTTTTAAAGGTTGAGACTGCAGAGTGCAGATTATGAATCTATATTTTGAAAAACATGTTTTTTCACATTTTGAGAATTCTTCTTGAGTCATTCATTCAAGATGTATGTAAAGGGAGTAAATGGAATCCTAAGCAAAGGAATTGAGTTTTTGTTACAAACTCTTATTTTCTTATCCCTATATCTTTGCATTTGAATGTCGGAGACCTTAGATATTTAAAACTATGAATCATTTTAGATCAAATAATGATAGTTTGAAATATCAAAGGTTTACACCGTCAGGTTGAAAAGATATGGCGATTGTAAGATCATAATTTGTGGCAAAAACTCAGGTCCTTTTGTAATTCAAATTCAATTACAACTACTTTGGTATAAGAAAAATTCAAATAAATATTATTTACACTAATTCTAGGCTTCCATAATTATTGTATTTAGAAATTTCAATTCTAAAAATTAATTTGCTCCTATATTTATTATTTATGTCAGGGGAAAATATCTTCTTTCAGTTGAAAGCAGAAAGATCTTTTAAAATTATCAGCCCTAAGAGGTTTCTTGTCGTACACCAATTTCTACTCTAAAAGAGTAGTTCATTAACTAATGATTAAGGTTTTTTGTTCAACCGGAATAAGATTCACTAGGATTTTTCTTAACCGGAAAAAGATTCCCTTGCCGGACTTCTCTTTTCTGCCATTTTTTTCTGAATCGGACAAATTATCTCTAACGAGATACGTCAAAACTTTTTCCGGAAACAGGAAAAAGATTTTTTAACCTTATTTTCTAAACAGGATACAGATTTTCTTATCTTCTTTTCTGAACCGGATACAGATTTTTTACTTATTTTCTGAACCTGATGCAGATTTTCTTTACTTATTTTCTAAACCGGATACAGATTTTCTTACCTTATTTTCTGAACCGGATACAGATTGTTTGCAATGTTCCTGGTGACCCAGTTTACTCCCAGCTCAGTCATGAACTCATTGAACAACTCGCTGGTCTCCAACTGAAAATCTCCTGCATGACGGATGCTTTTAACCAAACTTTTTCACACTTTTTCATACAAACTTTTATACCCTCCCCCCCCCCCTGTAGTGAACACCTACTCCAAAACAAGTTCTCGAAACGTGTCTTTCCAGGTCCAACCCGTTCGTGAATTAACGTAATTACAATTCCTACGTTGTTGTCTGTATTTAGAGTTGTTAATCGTTTTTGAAAACGATCATTAAACGATCGTTTTCTGTTTTGTTTTCCATTGGTTTCGTTCTCGGAAAAAACGATTGTTTTTAAAAACGGCACACTCGTTTCCAACTTTTAGAAAACGAAGGACGATCGTTGGTCATGCGATTTTTTTTTCATTGATAAATATGTTAACGATCGTTAACAAAGGGTCGCCGCTAATGATCGTTAACGAAATGACGAGCTTTATAAAAACGATCATTTTGCAAAACGATTGTGATTAAAAACGATCGTTTTGAAAACGGCCGTTTTATAAAAACGAACTTTTAAAAAAACGATAGTTTTTTAAAACAATCGTTTCGTTTTCATTATTTTTATCGTTGTTTTCATAACGAAACGATCGTTTTTCAAAAAAAAATGAAAACTTTAAGATCCCTATACTGTATCACATGATTAAGACGTATTTACCGCACAGTTCAAGTTTTATAATGTACGTAGGATTCCTTTGAAACCGATGAGACATTTTTATGGTGTACAATTTTTAAATAAACGCGTGAAGTCGTTCTTAATATTTTACCAGTTCACATGAACTACCAGGTCTAGTCGGTCTCTCCTTTTAAGGAGTAGGTCTAGAATGTTTTAAAATTTCAATCTTGTTTTAAAACCAGATCCATCCAAATCCATCCAGATCCATCCAGATCCATCCAGATCCATCCAGATCCATCCAATCCATCTTGACAAATCCCGACTTAACTAAATCTGTCCAGAAAAGAAAATTTTAAAAAAAAATTATTTTCATTTCAATTTCTTTTTTTTACTCATGGAAAAATATTAAAAATTGTCAAAAGACCAAAATTTAACTGATTTTTCAACTTTAAAATTTGTATTAGATTAACATAGACGGATAGGCTTGCCAGCTTAACTCCCATTATTGGCAAAACTGCATATTTTAATATTTATTTCTATTATTTTTCATTTGTACCCATTCAAAATCCAATATCAATTTTCTTTTTACTAAACTTTGTTTTCAATAGATATTCGTTTTTCATAATTTTTTTAAAATCTGAAGTAAAAAACACCAGGAGTCCCCCTTTGAGCGTTATCCATAAAATAGACAACTATCGTCAGCTTATAGCTAAACTAAAAGCACCATTTTATGATTTTATTCTCAATCACTGCATAATGACACTTAATGGGACAATAGACGTAATTTGAAGAACTCTCTATTCATAGAATGGGATATGTCCTATTTTTAACGGTACCCTTTATAAACTCCAAATATTTGTGAACTCTCCAAACCCATTAGTGACGAGACCATTAACTATTAGTGAAGTTGTTTTAGAAGGATCTTGTCATAACAAAACTTGATTGTACTCATTCAAAAACGATATTCAATTAAATTTTAAATTTTTTTTTGTACAGGGTGACCTGTGAAACATGAAAATCTAAAAAACTTTGGTAATTCATAATTATTTAATTTTCTTCAAAACTTTACTTTTCATGTTTTAGTTATTTAGATCTTAAAAGAAGATTCCAAAAATATCTTTAAATTTTTTCTAGCAAAAAAATTGACAATAGATTCGAAACTAAATTACAGGGTGTTCTTTTGGTTTTTTTTCGAATTCAAAATCTTGTTTTTTTTGGGTTTTTTTAAAATTGAAAATTTATAAAAAAAAAAACAAGATTTTGAAGCTACGTCAAATATAAAATATGTTTTGAAAGCAGGGAATTCTTTGGAAAGCGCAGGAAAAGACAGGACAACATTTAGTCTAAGAATAAAGGCACTTAAAAAACCTCACCCGGTCAAAATTGACCTTCTCGTCAATGGGTTTAATTGTAATTAATTGTTTCTCTGTTTGATTAAGCACTGCAGTATGAGAGGAGGATTCGACAGAATTAAGCACATTTTAAGACAGAAAAACGACGATATCTTCCTAGTTGCTCAGATAAAGGAGTAAAGGGTACCGTTGTGAATCGGAATGCATTTCTTTAATTTGAGGTTCACGGAAATTAACTTATAATGTAAATATTGATTGTTTTCCTGAACGTCTTCCATATTTCTCAACTTGGAACCAACTGATGAGAAAGTAAAATAACGTTGCACCCGGTTTATAGTGTATATACCTAGCTTCCTGGGTATACCTGTTTTAAATGTCGGGGGTGGAGTGGGGGAGGGTAAGGGGAGGGGGTGGTATGAGGGTGGGAGGGAGAATGAGGACTCACAAGGATGAAATGTATGCAATTTTGTCAGAAATAATCAAAACCAATATTCACATTTTTGAAGTTAAACTTCGTTGAATTAATCTGTAAAAGTACAAATTTTCGAGCAATAGTTCAAATGCAATGCCTAAAGCATAACAAGTTTTACGGAAAATTGCAGTAGATATGCCCTGTATTTATACTTATATATGCTTAGCACTTTAAAACCTCGTGCTATAATTCCTACAAATATATTTATACAATATAAATTTTTTCGTGAGACATTTCATGGCTACATAATGGCTGCATAGCAAAAACCTTTCTTATTTTATAATAAACATAAACTAGTCTTANCCCCCCCCTACATGTAAAATATACTGTGTAACACTAGATCTGTTTACGTTTACTGAATTACGTTGTAAATAGCTGCACAATCCCCATATCATGATTTAACTCAACTGCGCTGTATCGAACTACGTAACATGAATAGCTTAATTACGTTAATTAACATTAACTTGTAACATAAAAACCCCAAATATAGTTAGTTGAAATAGAGACTCCACGTTGGTTACTGCGAGAGAGTAATCGTTCCTTGTTTTAACAAACAAGTAGAGAATTATGCCCATTGGTTCGGCATGGACAGTTTACAAGCTAGTGTCCGTGTTGACATTGATAGCTGACGAGATCATGCCCATTGGTTTGGCTAACGAGAACGTGTCCCAATTTTAACATCTTTAGTAAAGTGAAACTGAGTTGTACCTGGTTAGATATGGGTTTGGGAAACCCTTATGGAGTAAGGCATTTACTACATACATTCCTGGGATGGTCCCAGAAGAATGTTTGGGGACGATATTCAACTTGGGATTACATCGAAATTAAATATTTTAAAAGGTTGTATGTATTGAGATTAAATTCTTCAGATGGTTGCTGTTTTAAAAGCGACTATAAATTCACAAATTTATTTGGATTTTCTATAGATTCTTTAAATCCTTTAAACTTTGACATTTTGGCAGATTTTGAGAATTTAGGCTCCGAACTTGGAATGACATTTCAAAAACTAGAAAACTAAAAACAGGAAGCTTATATAGAAAACAAGAAAATCGAAAAAAACTAGAAAAATATTTTTTTTAACTAGAAAACTTCATATCTAACTTGAAAACTGGAAAACTAGAATGAAGAAGAACTAGAAAACAGAAAATAATTTTAAAAATCAAAACTTTGAATTATATAAATATCGAAAACTATATAGAAAACTAGAAAAAGAAAACATTATAAAACTAGAAATCTAGAAAAAAAGAACAAGACAAATTCTAAAACAGAAAATGATAAAAAAAAACTTGATAAAATTAGAAATAGATAATTTGAAAACTAGAAAAACAAAAAAATTAAACTAATCTTTTTTTACAAATTGAATGGCAAATGCCTGTTATTGTATCTATACAGTATTTTTAAGAATTATAACTTAAAATTGAATAAGATTTAAAGAAAAGCTAGAAAATTTAAAACTTTCCACATTTGAAGAAGTAGAAAAGAAAACCTTAAAATCCACAATCTAAAAATAGAAAAACAAAAACGATAAACTAGAAAACACATTTTAGAAGAAATCTATTTCTTGTTCATATTTCCAATTTCCGGAAACATTTGCGATAATAAACATTATCTAAAGATTCATGGGTAATAAAGAAAAAAAGACTTTATAAAAACTGGGTGTGGGGGGAGATTTGGACAATTTTTCCTCAGGCAATGTATTTCATTATTAACAATGTTATTGAGGGTGGGAGGGAGAATGAGGACTCACAAGGATGAAATGTATGCAATTTTGTCAGAAATAATCAAAACCAATATTCACATTTTTGAAGTTAAACTTCGTTGAATTAATCTGTAAAAGTACAAATTTTCGAGCAATAGTTCAAATGCAATGCCTAAAGCATAACAAGTTTTACGGAAAATTGCAGTAGATATGCCCTGTATTTATACTTATATATGCTTAGCACTTTAAAACCTCGTGCTATAATTCCTACAAATATATTTATACAATATAAATTTTTTCGTGAGACATTTCATGGCTACATAATGGCTGCATAGCAAAAACCTTTCTTATTTTATAATAAACATAAACTAGTCTTATAGGCCGCTTCGCGCCCATCTTCCATTTTAATTTTAAACATGTTCTCTTTGTGCACAAACAAAAAATTCGCGGATTTAAGAAAAAAATTCCGTGGATTTACAAAATTCTCAAAAATAGAATTTTGATGGAAGCAAATTTCTAAAAATTCGATCATCTATAAACCTTCCGCGGGGTCACGCAAGGCCTACACAAAATTTGGGCATGATCGGTTAAGCCTTTTTGACACGTTTATTGTAAACGATCGTTTTTTGTTTCGTTTTCAAAAACGATCGTTTTTATTAAAACGATTTGCGACCGTTTTTTATACGATTGTTTTTTAAAAAAACGATCGTTTTTGAAAAAAACGATCGTAAACGAAGGGTCGTCGTTAACGATCGTTAACGAAGGGTCGTCGTTAACGATCGTTAACGAAAGGTCGTCGTTAACGATCGTTAACGAAGGGTTGTCGTTAACGATCGTTAACGAAACGACGAACTTTATCAAAACGGTTGTTTTTGGAAAAAAATTACTTGCAACTTCATTGAATGTCGTCTTACATGAAGTTTAACAGTTATGGGGGAGTTAAAACTCCTTGATATTTTCTTAAAAACTACTCAATGATAAGTACAGATGCCCTCAGGTCGGTTTCCTCTCTTCGTTAACGAAGGGTTCGTCGTTAACGATCGTTAACGAAGGG